TTTAATTATAAGCTGTATCCATTATGTAAATTAGATACGAAAACCATGGTATTTATATCTAAGTATAWAAACACATAAATAATTGATAAAGTATAATATGCTAATTACATCCGGGTAGGTAACTATCTGTCAATAGGTTGAAGCTAATATCATTATATGTACTTAAGTACGTACTGTTAAGTATCTTAACAACAATCTCCTCCACATGTACAAAGTGCGGTACATTTCAAGGCCGCTTTAACACAGGAACATTGCTTCTGACATCCTTTCTTGCACCCACATTTGATCAAAGCTTTGCAGGAGTTAGACATGTCATGGAGTGTTGACCAAAATGTTGTCCATCCTTCGAGTGACTCTTCCCATCCCCACTCACTTGGAGAAGGTAWCTCCATGATTGGAACGGTGGATTGACCCCAGCAATAGGCTCCTTGATAGGTTGCACGCTTGATGTGTTCTTTAAGAGCTGCTTGAGTTGGCGGTATAGCATCAAGGGCTCGCGCTTTCTTTGTGAACAGTTCCTTACGTGCCWCATTAACTGAAGTCTTTGTACTGGTGCGATGGTAGAGCAGTACAAYATACCTCTCCAATTTMTGTAGGGTACCATCGCCGATGGTCGCTGGTCTTTGCAAAAGCTCCATAAATGCTGTTGTGACATCATTGTACACCATCCATGTGTTCCAGGCGGTCTTTTTGCCTTTACGCGAGAAACAGGATACCGTGTCGCAGCCAGTGAAAGCATGAAACATTGGTAGCGATCTTGACTTATGAGGACCAAGAGCATGTGTGATGTCATGGATAGAATATGACCTCAGATGTTCACCAGAGCCAAAAATCACCCACAATTCTATTTGGGGCAGAAGGTGGAACATACCAATACAAATTACAATTACGTCAGTGTCTACTGTGCGTAYTGCTATCCTCTTATGTCTTGCTCTTGCAGCATCAGCGACATGTACCAATATTCTGGTATCAGCTTCTTCATGGTTTGATGGAGTAAGATTTACTGTATTACATGACGCTGGACTAGATAACACTTGTGGACCCTTGGTAATTATAACTTCTTTGCCTTCAGCAAATTCTACCTGTGAAACGCACTCTGCTATGACGCCAAATASCTCTTTTTTGTTTCCATCTACTCTCAAGAAGTCTTGCCAGCCCTTAGTTGGAATCAGTGTTGATGTTWCAACTCTCCTCCTTACGCCTTTCCCTCTTTTCGTTCTTGTCAAACKCTTCAGGCTGTTGTCCACGTACTCGTCAAASACAACATCAATTCTTTCAACATTCCTAAGCTGTCCTTTGATATATGGAATGAATATGTGGGTGATGTAGTCTCCAAAGGTCTTGATGTCAGGTGTTGGCTTTAGCATATTTACAACAGCTKCTCCGTCAAGAACAATAACGTTAAGAGATGGYGGGATACTTGCTGAAGGTGGCGAGAAAGGTGCCAAGCAATCAAGCAGGTCTGACTTTTTCGACGGCAAAAGCAATTCTCCATTATGTGATAAAGATGGTGGACAACCTTKATTCTCGTGACAGAAAAACTCATCAAGGTCTTCATTTCTTGTCTGACATGATATGAACAGCTTGGAGAAGAGTGMRCAGTCGGTCTTTAGGGATGTGATCTTTTGCTTGTCTTTAGATGGCGCCTTCTTTTTGGGGGTCTTGAACAGTGGCAGCTTATTCCTTGTGATTGGCTMATAGAGGCTTGTCTWACTAWCATCAATTCGTTCTTTCTTAAATGTCTTATACTGTTTGCAACCAGTTTCTTCTATKGTACGGACAGTCTTGACAACACTTGCATCAGCAATATCTCTGGTATCAAGCACAAGGAGATCATTGCTTTCTTCTGTGAAAGGATTCCCCATATCTTCAATAACAGACGCAAGTGACTTTACTTCTTTAACAAACGAACATTGTAAGTTTTTTGCCTCTTCATGATGTTCTTTGTCTTCACTTTTTGCCTCAGGTAAACACTCTTCAAATTCATTAACAATCCGCGCTATCTCAGGACCTGAAATCATCCATCGTCGTAACGCTCCTGCGCTTTCTGTTAAGCCGACAGCGCCACCTTCTCCTTTGACAAGCTTGTTGTTTTGCTCATGTGCCTGGTCGATGGCCATGGCAGAGAATGCTCTTGTGGACTTTTGCACTGTAAATCCCCCATTTGCAAGATTCAGATATGTCTGCGGGAGTGTGTGTCGAATGGCCATCATGTCTCTTAGGTRTACTGGTACCCATCTGGAGTAATTGCTGTGATCTAGTGAAAAGAACCATGGCACCAGCTTCTCGAGGCTRCTCAAGTACAAGGGGAAGTTGGCATCTCGTATAGCCTTTACAAATACTAGATAAAGCAATTCTAGCTGCAAGGCTATGTACCAAAATTGGAAATGTGGAAAAGTAACTGAGCGTTGTGTACACCAATCATCAATACAGAGAGAGTCTCTTATTTCACCTCTGTCCAGGGAAAGCTGATAGGCTGTATGCAGCAACTTATATAAAGCTGCAGCAG